ACAGAACTACAGGTATTATTTTCAAATGAGAAAATAACAATTACAAAGTAAAACAAATCATGAACTGGCATTTATTTCTATATTTTGCTTAAATATTAAACATTACACAAATATTTATCTTCATACTTTATAAGATAAATCCTCAAACAATATCTATAAAAAAATGAACATCGACTAAGGAAATGCCCCTTTCTAGGGGATCGTCAGTGGCTCCCTGCAGCTAATACGCTATAACCCCAGGCCCAGTTTCATCCCACAATGTACGAGTTTCACACTTACACATTGGCCTACTGAAGACAGACCAGAATTCTGTTCCCTCACGGAGTTGAGGAAGCTAAGGCTTCATATACACCATACGCTGAGGAAAAACCATGCCCCCCCCCAATAAAAAACAGCGTTGAATGTAATGAAATGCCATTTTCTGGGTGAGCCCCAGAGGCTTCCTGGAGCTTATCGGGCTAATGTGTTTATATTAGACCGGGACATTAGCTATGGAGTTCGGACCTACCAGGGACCATGAACCAGACCATGGCTCCTTCAGAGAGGTTTCAGGGAGCATTGGCCCTGGACCCCCCCCCCCCTCCCAGTGGTTTGGGTTTTCCTTATCTACCGTTGACCGAGGTTAGGCACCCAGAAAGGTAGGCATAACAAAAACCCCACATGGTAAGAAACTAAAACAAAACTGAACAGAGAGGTAGAACAACCTTCAATCCCAAGGAAACAAGCAAACGTCACACTCTATTGCCGCGCCGCTCGTCCGAGCGAGGCTGTCCTCCCGCCTTTTTGGTTTCGGAAGACCGAGAAGAAGTCTCCGTCTTCCTTCCAGAGACCTCCGGAAGGAAGGGACCAAAGTACCCAAGGGAACCTGGAACCGAACTCGGAGGGTGAGCTGACGCCACATAAACTCGTACAGGGAGGGAATAAGAAAACCCCACCCCCTTGCAACAAGCCCCGCTCAGAGGGGACCAAACCAAAGTGGGGTCAAACGGGGCCCAAACCCCCCCAAGTCAACCCCTCCCTTGCCTCGAAAACTTCCACACCAGGACCCGGGGCCGAGCCATCCTCCAAACCCTCTGCCTCAAAAAAGAGAGAGTCTACCAAAAAAGCTGGAACAAAGGGTGCCACTGGTAAGACACAGAAGCACTGGCAGGAGGAACAGGCTCGAATGCCTCTATTGTCATACTAGAAGGGGCATCCCTCGAAACAGCCCGTGTCTCTCCACCAACTAAACCCTGCCCCGACTCCGAAACCCTCAGACATTTCGGAGCCGGGAGCAGGGGAAAAGGAACAGGACGAACAGCAGCAGGGGAAGGATAAGGGAGTGCGGATGAAACCAAAATCGAGGCGACTAACGCCCCCAAGTCTGGGTCCCTATAACCTAGCACACTGCAGCAGCCTAAAATGCGCATGCAACGCTGAATCCGCTTGCACCCGAATATCAAATATCAATATTAGTGGATTGGGTGAGCTGGAGTACAAACAAGGAACACCACTCACAGGACTCTGGGTCGAAGATGTCACTGACCCAACAGGCAGCATGACAGAGGCACAACTGGTGACTGTCATCCTGAGACAAGAGGACAGAGCAACCTTCAAACTCGCATGAAGCGAGTTGGGATCCAGGGGACATGTCCATCGAGCCATTGAGCCCCAACAGGGCTCAATGGGCCCTTAGATGCTCTGTCAAGGGAAGTCCAGGCAAAGTACAGTACTGCCCCAAACTACCAAGAGAACTACCAATGGCTGAACCCCCCGGGACGTGTACACTCACAGGGACCTAGTGGAGGACCACCAAATATATATAAGAGGTATCAACGCCAAGGGGTAGACCCCCACCAGGCAGGAAAACAAAAATAAAAGAAAAACCCTGCAAGAGCACAACGACCCAGACGGAACAGAGCCGGCCGCCGTATTATGGTGACAACAGACTGCACAGTACCTTGTGCCCCTACCAGTGATGAAACTACCTCCTACCCCGGTCGGGAGTAGGAGGTAGCCGGTCGGCCGAGCGGACAGCACGCTGGACTTGTGATCCTGTGGTCCTGGGTTCGATCCCGGGCGCCGGCGAGAAACAATGGGCAGAGTTTCTTTCACCCTATGCCCCTGTTACCTAGCAGTAAAATAGGTACCTGGGTGTTAGTCAGCTGACACGGGCTGCTTCCTGGGGGTGGAGGCCTGGTCGAGGACCGGGCCGCGGACTAAAAAGCCCCGAAATCATCTCAAGATAACCTCAAGATATACCCCAGAGACAAACAGTGGTGCATAATCCCACAGCTGACCCCAAGGGCATGCAATCACCAAGCAGCAGGACCCCATGGAGGTAGACCCCAAGCAACTTGCAGAAGGGAGCCCCAAGCCACAAGGGCAGTATTTACATGGCAACAAGGTTAGGTAACCCTAGGCCCATGCAGCCCGAGTACTTGTGAAATCACTCCTCCTCCTCCTGCTGGATTGATCCAGAAGCCTTGGCAGGTAATTATTCAAGCTCGACCACCTCTGCACCTGAATCAGAAGGGGCGGCCCCCCGAAGCTGCCCTTACTAACGACTCCTCGACTCCCGACTCCACCACCAGGGCCCCCACCCCCCTGGTGGGGGCCCTGGAAAGCTAGCTCTGACACCACCACAGGTCAGGACACAGCACTGGAAAATGTCTGGAGCCAGAGTCGCACGACCACCAGGTCTCACATCAGCACAGACAGTGGCGCGGAAACGGTTGTGACGTCATTTTCATTTGCTCATTTTTCGTTTGGAGAGTTCTGTCCAATAGTTCGGCTTTCAGTAGCAACTTTTTAACCAGATCGGGTTTGTTTTGGGGCCCCCTACTTTTCTAGGTGCCTGATCCGGTCGATGGCAGACATAGAACGTTTCCAACCCCACACAGTGGTTTCTATAGACTACTGCTCCTCATGCATCTCTGAGGGGGCCAGGTTCTGGCTCGTGGTCCCTGGTAGGCCTAAGAACTCCATTCGCTTTGACTGATGCCACAGTCTAATACATTCATATCAGCCCAGGAAGCTGAAGGGGCTCCCCCAAAAAAAACTGCTTCTGCTAGCCCTTGCTCTAAATTCTGAGAATTTTATTTATTTGTTCAATATTCATAACTCCCCACTTATTACTAATCTTGGTATAGTATCTGGAATACCGTTTGTACACCTATCCTACACTACCACCTAGATAATGATGAGATTGTCCTGGAGCTTTCCGAGCCGTGTTGCTTGCAGTTGAAGTGTGAGCATGTATGCATGTGTATGTATGCATGTGAATGTATGCATGTGAATGTATGCATGTGCATGCATGCAGTCATGCATGTATACAACATTCATGTTTGTATACATGTAAGGTACAGAATATATTGTTATACAGTAAACACAAACATACAAAAAAAACAGCATTGAATGTAATGAAATTCCATTTTCTGGTTGAGCCCAGGAGGCTCCCTGAAGCTATTCGAACTGATATGTGCTATATTAGTTTGGGGTCATCAGTCACAGGAGTCCTTATGCCTACCGAGGACCATGAGCCAGAACCTGGCTCCCTCAGAGAGGTGCAGTGAGCAATGGTCTATGACCTCTTTACATTTAAAGTATGCCATGATTGCTATCGATCGGGGAAGGACCCAGATAGGTATGTGAATCAAAATAGACCACTGTCTGGTTAACCTGTGCAATCTACATCCTAAAAGATCAAAATAACTCCCCTAGAAAGAAACCCAACAAGCAACAATTCATACAACTAGCACTCCCGCTTGTTAGCGCTACCAACTGCCCAGTAGGGGGAGAGGAGAAGCCGGCAGCCCTCTGGACGATCATCCAGAGGGAATATGGATGATCGTCACCCTGAGGCAGGGGAGCAACAACTTTCAACTTCGCACAAAGCATGAGTGGATTCGGGAAAAAGTATCCATGGTACCACCAAGCCCACGGGGGGTTCTACAGGGGCCGCAGGGTGAATAAGCCCCATGGGAATCCCAGGTACTAAGGCCAGCTAAGCCAGTAGAACCCTGACAGACAGCATGCAAACTGACCACCACTAGCAGCTTTGATACCTCGGGGGCGACAGAGGAGGACCACCAACACCACCTAGGCTAGGCTAATAAGAAGCTAGGCAAACCACCTATGTCTATAAAAGGCAGAAACTCCGGAGAAGAAAACTAAAAGCCCGAAGAAACAAAAAAAACTTGTAGCCAGAGCTAGCTGTGCCAGCAGCAGTGACCTCCACCCAGCTAAAACACTCCCCCACCCAGAGCTAGACAGAATGCCTTAGACCCCCATGAATCCAAAGGGTGAAGACAACCTCAAGCGATGAAGTCCTCTAACAGTGAGTGATTCCCAAATGCCCCAGGTAAGAAAACCATGAAATACAAGGATAGTACTTGTGGAGAACCTAGGGAAGATCACCCTAGGCGCATGCTGCTCCTCGTACAATAAGACACCTGACAACCACACCCCACAACACTGAAGGTACAGCCAGACAGGGAAAAATCCAGAAAAGGAACTTAAGGCCAGAGGTCTGACCACCAGCACATCTGTTCAAGAACTAGAGTGGAGGGCTCCAGTAAGCTGGGTCCCCCCTCCCCCTGATTTTTTTTCTAGGGGAGGTATTTTGATCTTTTAGGATGTAGAGTGTACAGGTTAACGAGACAGTGGTCTGTTTTAATTCGCCTGTCTTTCTGGGTCCTTCCCTGGTCAATGGCAATAATGACATACTGTACTTCAAATGTAAAATGCCCATAGGTCATTGCTCCCTGCGCCTCTCTGACGGGGGAGGAGGGGGGCCAGGTTCTGGCTCGTGGTCCCCAGTAGGTTCAAGGACTCCTATGACTGATGACCCTAAACGAATATAGCACATGTCAGCCCGAATAGCTTCAGGGAGCCGACAGGGTAATATATAAAAAGAAAATAGTAAATTTCATTTACCACATTTGTTAGTAAATTTAAAGACATAAAACAAAACTAAAAATTAAAACTAAACATTAAAACAGCAATAAATGCACCTTTACCTCCTCTCTGAAGTCATGCCCAGTTGTGTGAGTATAACGCAATAATAATTCCCTTTCGTGATCAGAGAAGGCAACATCTTCCGGGGGTTCTACATCGCTTACCATGAAGAACGGAAGGAAAGTGACCTCTGCATTGGCATCAATTTGGGCTGCTTCCTGTAAATTAACACAAGTACTGTACGTTGCATATAATCCTATTTGCTCACAATTCGCCCCCCCCCAGAAAGGGCGTCTCCTCCCTCAACCCCCCGTCAAGGGGGGGGGGGTGTTTCCTCCCTCGCCCCCCCCATCAAGAGGGCGTCTCCTCCCTCGCCCCCCCCCCCATCAAGGGGTCGTCTCCTCCCTTGCCCCCCCCAATCAAGGGGGCGTCTCCTCCCTTGCCCTCCCCCCATCAAGGGGGCGTCTCATAACTCACCCCCGTCAAGAGGGCGTCTCCTAACTCACCCCCGTCAAGGGGGCGTCTCCTAACTCACCCCCGTCAAGGGGGCGTCTCCTAACTCACCCCCGTCAAAGAGGGCGTCCCACAATTCACCCCCGTCAAGGGGTGTCCTACAATTCACCCCCGTCAAGGGGTGTCCTACAATTCACCCCCGTCAAGGGGTGTCTCCTAATTCACCCCCCCCCCCCCGTCAAGGGATGTCTCTTAATTCACCTCCTGTCAAGGGATGTCTCCTATACCACCCCCCCATCAAGGGATGTCTCCTATACCAACCCCCCCTCATCAAGGGATGTCTCCTATACCACCCCCCCTCATCAAGGGATGTCTCCTATACCACCACCCCCATCAAGGGATGTCTCCTATTTCCCCTCCCCCCATCAAGGGATGTCTCCTATACCACCCCCCATCAAGGGATGTCTCCTATACCATCACCCCCATCAAGGGATGTCTCCTATTTCCCCCTCCCCCCATCAAGGGATGTTTCCTATACTACCCCCCCCATCAAGGGATGTCTCCTATACCCCCCCCCCATCACGAGATGTCTCCTATACCACCCTCCCCTCATCAAGGGATGTCTCCTATACCCCCCCCCATCATGAGATGTCTCCTATACCACCCCCCCCCCATCAAGGGATGTCTCCTATTCCACCACCACCCAATTCATCTCTTCAAGGGATGTCTCATAATTCACCCCTTCAAGGGATATTGAATGATCTCTCTCCAGAATCACATAATATGTTTATAACAGTGTCATTACTTTGAGACATTTAATGATAAAAGCACAGCACATCATCCAAGACTTCTTATGCACTTTGGCTGCAGTCTCACCCAGTCACTGCAAGCCACAGACAGTGGTTCACTATTTTGTCATAACAAATATATTCATGGTGCATCTGGTCCTCATCTTCAAATGTGACATGCTTCACAGTCATTTTGCAGGAGACACAAAACAACCTAAATGGAAACCCATCCCACAAGGTTGCCCGATAGGCAGCCATCTATCGAGACCTTGTACCCGGCATGCCTCATGACAAAGGCAACAGGAATGGCCATCATTGCCTGAAAACACCAAAGTACATACTGAAAAAATTCCCTGGAACAAAGTGAAGGATGGAATCAGATGGGAAATCCATAACTCAACCGAATAACATATTCTTGAAATGTTGCCAGTACCGGCAGTTAGTTTAAAGTGCACAAGTAAGGGAGCCGGTCGGCCGAGCGGACAGCACGCTGGACTTGTGATCCTGTGGTCCTGGGTTCGATCCCGGGCGCCGGCGAGAAACAATGGGCAGAGTTTCTTTCACCCTATGCCCCTTTTACCTAGCAGTAAAATAGGTACCTGGGTGTTAGTCAGCTGTCACGGGGTGCTTCCTGGGGGGTGGAGGCCTGGTCGAGGACCGGGTCGCGGAGACACTAAAAAGCCCCAAAATCATCTCAAGATAACTTCAAGAAGATAACCACACTCCACACACATTACAGTAGTGACAGGATAAAATGATTAAGACAATTGTACACATTGCTGTATCTGTACATCTAATATTAAATCACAATGATAGCTAGTACCAAAACTTTGCCAGCAAGGCACCCGTTATGTATGTTGGTATCAAATGACCCATTAAAGGAATATTGTCCTGTCAAGACCACAATTTTCAGTAATGGAGAATAAAACGTGCTGTAGTTTTTGTCATTAGGCTACACAGTATACTTGTGTCCTAAATTGACTAGAAGCAAAAGTAGGACATTGTGCAAGTATACAAGATACATTACCCTTTTACTGAAAAAAATTGCCATTTCATGCAATGTATCTTAGACCTATCTTTTTAAGTGGCAACTGTCACATAGAATGTGTGCACGTGCCATGATCATGTATCTCTGACCACATACTGCACTTTTCTTGGTAGGTAGATTCCCCGCACAAGCTGAATTTCCAGTGATACTTTTAGCCATGTTATACTCAAGCTATAACTTGAGTACAGAATATAGGTGCACAGTTCGAGTTTTCTAGAGCCCAGGTGAATGGAATGTTCATTTCCACGGAAGTGTGGTTGACAATTTAAATTTCAAAAAGGCATTAAATGCCTTTACACCCTACAAAAAAATTTATATGGAAAAGACGATATTTGTGCAAAGTACTTAAGAGAACATACTTCCCCAAAAAGTTTCCAGCCCAGGAATCTCCTCTAAAGAAGTTGTGATATCGCCTCAGCAATATTTAAAAAAAAGTCTGACCTAAAAGCTGTGAGTTCTACAACAGCTAGTGACACTTACCTGCTTGATACCTGCTTAATGGGGTTCTGAGAGATGTTCTACTCCCCAAGCACAGACCAAGGCCAGGCTTGACTGATAACGACCCACAGATATTCCCCCCCCCCTTCCCTCCCATAATCTCCCACATCAAATACAGCCAGTGATGCTGAAAATGACCAGCCAACCTCTGATGTCAGTGCATCACCACCACCACCTGCTGCTTACTCCTCTAGCAACAAGATCTCTTCACTTATGAAAGCAGCCAACTTTGAAAAGCAGGACAACTCCATCATTCAAGTAAATAATAAGCTGTGTTTTTTTCATATTATGCTCCAAAATTTTTGCTTTTGTGATGATTTCTGGTGATCTGGTAATACATCCCCCCCCATTTACTGTAATGTGCCTAAGGTAAATCTTGTTCTGCATTTCGAGCATATGCTTTACAAACAACATCCTTCATTTACTGTAATGCACCTAAGGTAAATCTCGTTGTGCATTCCAAAAAACCAGCGTTGAATGTAATGAAACGCCATTTTCTGGGTGAGTCCCGGAGGCTCCCCGGAGCTATCCAGGCTGAATGGCTATGTATAACTTTCTGGCATCAAAGTGCTTGGAGTTCTTGCCTACCGGGGACCACGAGCCAGAAACTGGCCCCCCCCTCAGAGAGGCACGAGGAGCAATGGCCTATAGAGACCCCTTTGTGATTGGGAGCATTCTATGTCTGCCATCGACCGGGACAGGCACCCAGAAAGGTAGGCGCCACAAAACAAACCCCTATTCTGGTGAAATTATTGCTACCGAAAGCCGAACGAGTGGACAGAACTCCCCAAACAAAATTATCAAACTAGCATGACGTCATCACGTCGCCGCGCCACTGTCTGCGTAACCCCCCCCCCTCCCCAAGAGGGGGAAGGGGGAGCCCCAGACCCTCCACGCTGGCGATCCAACTGGCAGTTCTTAGACTGGATGTCAAAATTCGCGAAAAATGCCGCCGACCGGAGGGAGGGAGGGATGCCGGAGAGCCTCCGGGACTCGCCCAGAAAATAGCGTTTCATTACATTCAACGCTGGTTTTCTGGGGGGAGCCCCGTCGGCTCCCCAGAGCTACCTTACCAAAAGATAAGTAAAACAGGGAAGGAACCGGGAGGCGGATACCACACGTCCTAACTTAACAACCAAAACCAGAGACAAAACAAAGGCCAAACCGAGAAGAAAAGACCACCCAGGCCAACGACCAGGACGGCCCCAAAACACAAGAGCAGGCCAGAGGGTAACAACGCCCAGGACAGCAAGTGGAATGGAGCAGAAGGAACCGCAACACTGAACGTAAGCAGGAGCGGCTCTGCCAGCACCACCCAACATGAGGTGATGGGACAATCCCAGACAATGGTCCCAGAACAACCCCGAAGGGAAGACAAACCAACCCCTATCAAAGACCGAAGGACCCTTCGCAGTGATAGGAAAACCAAACACCGCCCCCGAGACAAAACACGCAGGTGGGAGACCAATAACGAACCCACCTGTGCCGACACAAACGACGAGAAACGAACACCACGATCGAAAGCGCAAAACGCGAATCGAAAAACAGCGACCCCGCAACCCAAAGGAGCAACAGAACCAGCTCCAGCAGGGAAGAATGATACACGCATCCCCGAGGCATCCAAGAGAACTACCGAGGACCAGAACCACAGGAAAACAAACACACCCGGTCCGGAAAAGGAACAAAGAAAAACCGAAACCAGGACTGGAACCCAGCAAACCCGGTTCCAAGAAAAGGAACCAGGAAGGCAGGAGCAGCAGACCGAAAAGTCCACCCCTCCCCCCCCACAGACAGCACAACCTGAAGCCTGCAGAAAACCACACAGAAATCGCAGGAACTCGGTACCAAAACGGAACACCGGAGAAGCCCAAAAGCAGGGCGTGGAACATGGACAGAGGTCTACCGGATCACCAAACAGGATAATCAAGAAGCACTGACCCAGATACACAAAAAGTGTAGCATGGGGGAGGAAAACTGAATTAGGTAAGGAAAACCACGAATACGGCCCAAGGAGCGGCCGGGAAGTAACGCACATGACCAATCACAAAATGTGTAGCGGAGCGCGTACATACCTGAGGGACCTTACGCACAGCAGGGTTATCTTGAGGTTCTTGAGATGATTTCTCCCTTGGCTATGTGAGGGTGCAGTCAGGCACTGAAGATAGGCAAGGAAAGTGTCCAGACAGGGAAAAGACCCAGGGGTCTACGACGAAAACAAAAGCACCGAAACGCGGGGCAGAGCCCCACAGGACAATAAAGAACAAAAGATGGACGAAAGACACTAAAGACACATGCAAGGTGACCAAACACCACACCAAACACCCCAATCAGGAGCCATCGACGCAATCCCGCCAAGCGGGGAAGAGTAAACAAGGATGGAACAGTGAACAAGGGTGGCGGAGGGAGTAGAGTAACCCAAGAAGATACTCGCTCCAAATGCATGAGCCTAACTAGAGAAGCAAAGCTCTACAAAGTACCAACGACGGAACTGAAACCGTTCCATACGTCCAACAAAAAGTCCTGCCAACCTGTAGAGAACTGAGGCGGCGCCCAAGCACATAACCAGCAGAGTAGCGAATAATAACTAGTCTACCGGCAAGTGTGGTCAAGAACAGACATGCGAGACACCGTACCGACACTCAGTGCGCCCAACCCGCACCATTGCCTGCCAATGATCACCCGCAACTACTGTATATGCAACAAATGATAAGTAGTTCCTTAGTGTTTGTGTTTATAGACCAATCTCCACGAAACAATAGAAACTGGGATAGAGGCACACGCCACCCGTGCGGCACATTGTGGGCACGAAACAATGGGCATAAAAGGGATAAGCTCAGAATCAGGAAAGACCGGAGGAATGACCGGCACGGTAACAGGCCCGGTGATGCGCGGAACCAATTACCACGTAAAGTGGTGGAGGGGGCCCCACTAATGGTGCAAGGGCGGGTTGGACATGTATGTGAGTGGGAATGGATGTTAATCCTCTTGTTTGAGGAGCCGTTCACTTGAGACAGTTAAGCAAGTCCCAGCTGTGTCTGGGTACAAGTGACAGGATGAACAACCCAGCGGGTTTTCGTCCTATTGGGGAGTATCGTACATGCTGCCATGGCGGTGTGTCCACACACAAGATGAGTAGCACTGCCCAATAAACTCGCCCCTCAGGGCAAAATGTAATTTAATATAGTAGCTGCCTCGCACGGGCCAAGAAGCCCTCCGCAGGGCCACTGTACTTATGTCCGGATGCAGATACGCACAAGGGGACACAGGAGGTAGTGAGCACCCAAAGGAGCCACAGACACTAAAAAGAACCCGATTAATGGCAGAGGGAAAGGAAGCGAAAAGCACCAAAATGCCATGTGGAGGAGGCAGACGCCACCCACAGGAGCAAACGTGAAGACAGAGCCCAGAAGGCTCAGGAAACTGCGCAACCGTCAACCGACAGAAGAGGCGGGGCCCAAGAGCCAAAGCGCAACCCCCGCAAGCACTACTAGGCAAGCACTACTAGGCAAGCACTACTAGGCAAGCACCCCACCAAAAGTGCGAACCAGCACTAGGCCGGCAGAAGTGCCAGACAAGACAACCTCACCTGCAGAGCAGACACACGACCGTGCCACAACACAGGCGAGCCAAGTAACATACTAGGAGCAGCGCTAAAGGTGTGCCCGAAAGCCAGGCATACTCGAGGCAGAAGGTACAGTATGTACCCTTACCTGAAGAAAATGCGAGGTCGAAGGAGAAAGACGTCCAGAGGTGTGTGTCCTGCAGAAGACAAAGCAAGACAGAGGAAGAACAAAAAGACACCCCCAGATATAAATCCAAAACACCCTCAGCATCCAGAGGGCCACGACTGGAGGGAGAAATGAGCAAGCCGGAGAAAACCACGAGAAACGGCGCGAACACACGAGCATACCGCCTGTAAACAAAACGCACACCGCGGCCTCAGCACACGAGGTACGAAACGCACCACCCGTCCACCGGGAGGTGTGGCTCGTACACCAGGCGGACACACAAATCGTACACACAACGTACAGACATCGTACAAACACCAGGAAGGCGTGCGGAACGAAGACAAAGAACGCCGAAACTGGAAGTAGAGATGACGCGAAAACAAAACAAGGCGAAAACGAAGCGAAAGAAAACAGATGATGGAAGGGAACCAACAAAGCTAACAAAAGACCCGATGGAAACCACATAAAAAATCAACAGACGTTCCAATAATATTGGAAGGTACGAAGAGACTCGCGAACCAACGAGAACCATGACAAGCACCCCTGACCAAGGAACATGCAGGGCCAGCGATACGAAGCAGTGTAGGCACTATGTACTAGGTCAATATAGAAATCCATCAATGTTTGTTGCACACCTTGTATGGATGTACCTTACCTGAACACTTTTTTTTTTTTTTTGTGAACAGCATCGCGACATAAGAGCGAAAAGGGTAAGGAAAAGGGGGTGAAACACACCCCCAGGAACGATGGGACCGACGAACCTGAAGGAACACGGAACCGAACCCAGGGAGGGGTATACCCGAAAACAACAGGAACACAGAGGGAAGGAACAACCCCACTCTGAGGAACTGCCAGCCCCACACCAAAGGTACAAGGACCCAAGAGGGGCAAATGGGGCCGAGGCCCCTCAGGTAACCCCTCCCTAACCCCGGGAACCTCTACGGCATGACCCGGCCCACCCAGGGCCGAGCCGCACCCCCAAAGCCCCAGCTTAACAAGGAAAAGCCGGGGCAGCCGTGCAAACACTAATGAAGGGAGCCCACTGGTCAGACCCATACGGCACGGCAGGAGGAACCGACTCGAATGCCTCCGCCGCCAACCCAGAAGAGGAAAACCCCCGAGACCACCCGAGTCTCAAACCAACCAGACCCCGCCCCAACCCCGAAACCCTCCTATGGTTCGGAGCAGGAAGCAAGGGAGGAAGCGAGTAGAACAGAAGGGGAGGAACAAGAAGCGGAAGAAGCCAGAGAAAACCCCCACCCCCAAGTCCAGATCCCAACCACCAAAATGGGGCAGCCTCGGGGCATCCGGGGCCGCAAACCAAGAGCGTTGCAGCAACACACCCAGCAAGAAACGCCGCAGCCGCCTGCACCCGATTATCAAGACCAGTGGCCTGGGTGAAGGAGAGCGCGTACCGACAACAATCATCGGACGACTCCGGGTCACAAGAACAAGGACCCAACAGGCAGCATGGCGGAGGCACAACCGGTGAGTGTCACCCTGAGACAAGGGGACAGATCAACCGTCAAACTCGCAGGACGCGAGGGGGACTCAGGGGACACCTAGAGGACCACGGAGCCCCCGTGGGGTTTCCCAGGACCCTTAGCCTTTAGTACACGCTAAGGGAAGCCCAGGCAGGGTACCGCGAACCGGCACCCAAATCTACCAACAAACTGCTAAAGCTGAACCCCGGGACGTGTCCACTCACGGGGGCCAAGCGGGGAGTACTGCCAAAAGAAGAATTCGAAAGAAATTCACCTAGAACAGGAAAGGGGGACCATAGTAAAAGCAGACCCCCACCAGGCAAAAGCAAAAACAAAAGAAAAACCCCGCAAGAGGACAACGTACCCAGGCGGAACAGAGCCGGCCGCTGTTAATGGTGAAAACTAGCTGTGTAGTACCCCGCGCCCCTACCAGTGACGAAAACTACCACCTACCCAAAGACAAACCAGGGCAAAAACCCCAGTCGACTCCAAGGGCAGCCCAGTACCGAGCAGTAAAGGACACAGCGGAGGCAGAACCCAAGGTGACTTGTGGAAGGTGGCCCCAAGGGTAGTACTTACAGGGCACCTAGGGAAGATAGCCCTAGGCACATGCAGCCCGAGTACTGTGGAATCATACTCCTGGCTGGCATACCCCACCGGTAGAGACAGTCCACACCACAAGGCACAGAACTGAAACAAAAACCGGAGCCAGAGGCACTCGACCAGCCAGTAATACCATCAGCCAAGAACTGACAGTTGGATCGCCGGCAAGGAGGGTCTGGGGCTCCCCCTTCCCCCTCTCGGGGAGGGGGGGGTTGCACAGACGGTGGCACGGCGACGTGATGACGTCATGCTAGTTTGATAATTTTGTTTGGGGAGTTCTGTCCACTCGTTCGGCTTTCGGTAGCAATAATTTCACCAGAATAGGGGTTTGTTTTGGGGCGCCTACCTTTCTGGGTGCCTGTCCCGGTCGATGGCAGACATAGAATGCTCCCAATCACAAAGGGGTCTCTATAGGCCATTGCTCCTCGTGCCTCTCTGAGGGGGCCAGGTTCTGGCTCGTGGTCCCCAGTAGGCAAGAACTCCTAGCACTTTGACTGATGCCAGAAAGTTATACATATCCATTCAGCCTGGATAGCTCCGGGGAGCCGACGGGGCTCCCCCCAGAAATATATGCTTTACAAACACACTTTCAGAATGTAACTTGTTAGTAGTAGGGGGACTGCCCATGTATTATTTAATATCACAAATGATGGACTTGAAACTGCCCCACTCAGATTTATTATTGACAAGTTTTGGATGGTTATCAGATTCAATATAAAGAACCATTTTAAACTTCTGATGGTTTTCAGGTCCAACATAATTAACCATTTAAACTTTACATGGTTTCCTGGTTTGAGGCAATTTTACAAACTCTGTTAATCTTAAGTGGTGCTGAACTTTGGATGCCCAGATATTTGAAGCTCAACAATACATCATAAACATTTAACATGTAAATAATGCCACAGTTCAACAAAACTGGTATACCTGGAATAAAGCAGGAATGTCTGTCGTTGGTTGTTCTGGAGTATCGACAGCAATCATGTCGCCTTCCGAACCTTCAATGACGGCAGTGGCCTCTACGCCTTCCCCCTCACAGCCAACAATACCTACAGCACCACATACTGCTTCATTGGCATTGGGATCATCCTGAAATAACGAACTTGTGCTTGCTTCTTTACTGGGTACATGTACATTACATAAAGCTATAATTATTTACAATACAAATGGGATAACTTATTATAGAAATGTAATAAAACATAAAGAAAAAACAGTTTGAAAATTACAATAGATGACAAATACCAGAAAGGGAGTGGAGATTATCTATACAGTATTTCTGGAGGGGTTGAATGGTGGCTTCCTGTAGTCAGCTGCAGGTGCAGACCTAGCTCAAAATCTCCAGACTAGCAACCTCCTGGTTGCTAGTCTGGTCCACCAGGCTGTTTGGTGCAGCTGCTTACAGCCTGACATACAAATCACAGCCTGGTTGATCATATATCCTATGAAGGTGTTTGTCAAGTTCTCTTCAGAACACTGCAAAAAGTTGGCCAATTATACCTCTTATGTGTAGGGGAAGAGTGTTGAAAAGTCTTGGGCCTTTGATATTGACGAGTTCTCTCTCAGCATGCCTATCATACCTTTGCTCGTCAGTGGAGCTACTTTGCACATCCTGCCATGCCTTCTGATCTCATGTGGTGTTATTTCTGAGTGCAGATTTGGAATCAGTCCTCCTAATATTTTCCAAGTGTAGATTATTATGTATCTCTCCTGCCTACACTCCAAGAAATACAGATTTAAAATTTTTAGGCAGTCCCAATAATTTAGATGTTTCATAAAGTGGATTCTAGCAGTAAAGGATCTATGCATGTTCTCCAGATCGGCAATTTCTCCAGCTTTGAATGGGGTTGTTAGTGTGCAACAATATTCTACTCCAGAGAGCGAGAGCACTAATGTCTTAAAAAGTATCATTGGTATGGGATCACTTGTGTGGAATCTTGTTATCCAACCTGTCATATTTCTTGCAGTTGTGACCACAACTTTGTCGTGTTCTTTAACCCTCAAACCGCTAGGGGGCCCAAATGGAATTAACACCCACAGGCACAACAACAACAAAAAAAATCCAAAAAATTCTTTCGTCTTATAGAAGTGTTCATTTTTGTTCCCCGATCACGGAAAAAATAACAAAAAAATCGTAGGTGGCATATTTTAGCCGCAATAGGGTAGGGAAGTGTGGCAAAAAACCAGCGTTGAATGTAATGAAACGCCATTTTCTGGGTGAGTCCCGGAGGCTCCCCGGAGCTATCCCAGGCTGATATGCTAATGTCAGACTTTGGCATCAGTCATGTGTATGGAGTTCTTAGGCCTACCGGGGACCACGGCCAGAACCGGGCCCCCTCAGAGAGGCAAGGGGAGCAATGACCTATAGAAGCCCCCGTGTAGTTGGAAGCATTCTATGTCTGCCATCGACCGGAACAGGCACCCAGAAAGGTAAGCGCCCCAAAACAAACCCCTATTCTGGTTAAAATTGCTACCTAATACCGAACTAGTGGTAGAACTCCCCAACCGAAAACAAGCAAATTAGTGTGACGTCACACACTGCCGCGCCGCTGTCTGCGCAGCTCCCCCCTCCCCGGGAGGGGGAAGGGGGAGCCCCAGACCCCCCGCGCCGGCTACCCACACCTCAGTTCTTGAGGCTGGATGTCAAAAACGCGAAAAACCGCCGACCGGAGGGAGGGAGGGATGCCGGGGAGCCTCCGGGACTCACCCAGAAAATGGCGTTTCATTACATTCAACGCTGGTTTTCTCGGGGGAGCCCCGTCGGCTCCCCGGAGCTAACTACCCACAGACAGAAAAAGAGGGACTTACCCGGGAGGCGGTCGTCGCTCACCCCTCAACTCGAAGCCGAGACAACTGGCTGCAACCGCCGACCCAAAGCAACACAGGCCCGACGAGGGCCAGGGACATTCACAAGGTAACGAGCAGCCAGGACCCTGTTCGACCGCCAAAATCCCCGCGCCCGAATATCAGACCAAGACATATTCCCAAAGACGGCAGCAAGAGCCGCGAACTTACGAACGTCATGGGCACGGGGATAGACCGCAGGCTGGCTAGACCTAATAACCCTGCGGACGACCTGAGAGACCCGAACCCGCGAACAGGGAAGAAGGGAAACCGGATCAACCCACAGCGCGTCCCCGGACACAGAAGCTGTGGCGCGCAAATAACGGCGAAGCGCCGCAACCGGACACAAAACATGATGCACCCCCGGCCTGACCAACCAAGCATCAACCACCCATGGACCCCTCCGGAACGCAGCAGTCTCATTCTTCGCCAGAAAAGAAGGAGACGGCTGCAAACGAACAAAACTATCACCACGACCAAAAGAGCAGAAACCCCTGCGCCGGAGGAGAGCATGAAGCTCCCCTACCCGACCCCCAGAGGCCAAAGCCAACAAGAAAAGTGCCTTGGAAAAACAATCCTGGACCGAAGGGGCCACAACGAAACGAGGAGATGAAAGGAAAGCGAGCACTCTGTCCAAAGACCAGGACGGCTCAGGCGACGCATGAGCAGGCCGGAGGTGAAACAATGCACGAGACAGCTTGCGAAACGGCGCAGACGTAACATCGATACCGAAAGCAAGCTGAAGCGGCTCCGCCAGCGCCGCACGATACGAAGCGACAGTGTTAGGCATAAGATGACGGTCCTGAAACAACCACGAGAGGAAGGACAAGACCACCCGAACAGACATGGAGCTAACACGACGAAGACGCAAAAAGAAACGGAAGGACCGCCAGGAAACTACATACTGCCGCCGAGAAGAAGCCCTCAGGTGGGACACCAACAAGGAGGCCACCTGATCACCATAGAGATGATGATAGACTCGAGTCAAAAAAACCATACGTGAAGACTCAAGGAGAAGATCGAACCAGCTACGTGACGTACCGGCCCGAACTGCTGAAAGAGGCGGAGCCGCGGGAAAACCCTCGGGTTCGGACACCGAGCAACCAGCGCCTGAAACCAAGGCTGGGCCGGCCACCAAGGGGCCAGAAGGACAACTCTCCCCCGGTAAGTCTCTAAGCGAGTCAGGACCTGGAGCAACAGCCGAACCGGGGGAAAGAGGTACAGGAACCCCCACCTCGACCAGTCGAGCCGAAAGGCATCGACCCCGACGGCCTCGCAATCGGGGAAGGGCGAGCCGCGACCACGCCGACGCGAAGAGGTCCACCTCGGGGCGCCCGAACGTCTGGCAAAGCCAACGGAAGGACTCGTCGTCGACCGTCCACTCCGTGGAGAGGGGAACGAAGCGAGACAGGGCGTCGGCCAAGACGTTGGACACGCCCCGTACGTGAACCGCCAGGAGAGCCAAACCCCGAGAACTCAGCAGACGAGTCACCCGAAGCGACCAACCCCAAAGAGACAAGGACCGCATCGAACCCCCGCGGTTCAGGCAATGAACCACCGGAGAGCAGTCCGAATGGAGCCGAATCGTCAATCCGCGGGCCACCCGAATCCTCCCCAGAGCAAACCACACTGCCGCGAACTCCCGCACCGTACTGTGAGCTCGACGGAAGGACGGATCCCAACGCCCCTGGCCGGCCTGGTGAGCACTGGTCACAAAACCCCAGCCGAGAGACGACGCATCCGTGTACACATCGAGCGAGGGCTCGGGTAGGCGCCAAGGCACTGAACCCCGAAAAACCCGAAGAGGAAGCCGGTGACGCAGCAACCGACGCAAGTCCCCCGGGGGTCGAACTCTGCGATCGCGAGAGAGGCGGAAGGGGGAACCCCAAAGGAACCAGAACAGCCGTCGAAGCCAAACCCGACCCGGCGGGTAGACCACCATCGCGAAGTTCAGGCTCCCGCACAGCCCCTCGAGCAACCGCCGGGTGACCCGAGGGCCCTCCAGAAACAGACGAAGGCGGGACCGCAGCCGCAGGAGAGACTCCGGAGGGAGAGACAAGGAGGCGGTCCGAGAGTCCCACACGAGACCCAGCCAAGTCCGAACCTGAGAGGGAACCAGATGGGACTTCCTCCAGTTCACCAAGAACCCGAACCCGGCGAGCTGGGAAAGAACCAAATCCCTGGCTAGCAAGCAAGCTGACTGGCTGGGAGCCCAAACCAGCCAGTCGTCGAGGTAGGCCAACACCCGAACACCTAGGAGACGCAAACGAGCCACCACAACCCGTGTAAGGCGTGTGAACACGCGAGGTGCCAGGTTCAACCCGAACGGGAGACAACGAAAGCGGTAACTCAGACGCCCCACTACAAAACCGAGCCAGTCCCTGAACCGCGGATGAATCGGGACATGCCAATAAGCGTCCCGGAGGTCCAGGGACACCATCCAAGCACCCGGCTCCAAGAGGAGCCGAACCTGAGACAGCGCAGGGGAAGAAGCCTGCCCCGCCAGCCCCGACCCCCCAAAGGGGGGAGGGGCCACCCAACGCCACCGCAGGCCGCGAGACACGACCCGAAAGGCCCACGAATCGTGGGACCAGGCGCGGGCGAACAGCGCAAGCCGCCCCCCCATCGCCCCGTCAAAGGGGCAAACCGCGAAAGGGCCGGCGACCCTTACGAGACCCAGAACCCCGCACAGCGCGAACACCGCGCCGACCAGACGAGGGAGGGTCCGCAGGAGGAGCCAACCCCAAACCTGACACCAGAGGCCTACCACGACGAGAGGAACCCCGAGCCCTGGCACGACCTTTCCGGGAAGACCCACCCCGGGACCCCCGGAAAACCAACAAGTCCGACATCGGACGACAAGCCGCCGACGCAGCCTGAATAAACTGCACCACGGCCGACTCCCCAAACACGAGAGGACAAAAAGGTGAAGAACGCCTAAGAGCCAGAGCCCAAGCAGATTCCACGGAGGAACCCAGCACCGCCTGCCGACACGCGAGACGGGAAGCATAGAACAGGGAAACCGCATCCCGCAAAATCGGCGTGAACAGCTTCAACAAGGCAGCCGACGAACGCGCAGCCGAGGACAAGGTGCCGGACCCCGGGACGGACCCAAGCGTCCCCACATCCTCCACGAGCCAATCCGAAGACAGCTCCAGGAGGGAAAAGAACCGCAAGGCCGAACACAAAAGGCCCCGAGCGCGCAAGTCCTCCGCCACGAGCGCCGCCGAAAGGGAGGGAACCTGCAC